CTGTTAGTGGGACAGGACTTTATTCAGTCTCTGAGGGCCAGATTTGACTTGATGAAGCAGAGAAACAAAGTCTGAGTGTTTCTATCACCAGAGATGGGCAGTAACACATTACTTGTAACTTTACTTTTTGTAACTTTACATTACTTTTTTCCAAGTAATGAGTAAAGTAAGGGATTACAATTGTAAAAAAGTAATTAGATTATACTTACTTTCCCGTAAGCACGCTGCGTTACTGCATTACTAAACTATGATTTTGTTTGTGAGAGTTGTTTGTCTCCTGACAATGACGTAAGCGGGTGCGACGGCTGTGGTAGCACGTCTGTAAATCAACAATAGAAAACATGGAGCGAGGGATAGAGTTCAATCGTGCAGCATTTAATACTTGGAAATACCGACATTGCTTTCAATTTGACTCTTTAAAAAGCGACAAAAACATAAGCGTTCATTGCACACTCTGCATCGGAAGAAAACTTCTTTCTACATCGAAAAATTCCACTTCCAACCTGAGCAAGCACCTAGCACACTGCCACAAGAATGTTAAATTAACAGAAAACCCCCTGGATCCCCCCACTGACATGACCGCTGTGGCTACCACATCTACTTCCACTGGGCAAACCTCAGATGAACCCACTCCTACTAAACAGGTTAAACTAGACGTAAGAGCGACAGGACTTAGTGTCACTGAACTGAAGAAGCTCGTCGCTGCCTATATTGTCGAGGACATGTTGCCAATTTCCACTGTAGACTCTGAATCATTCCGATGCATCGTAGAAAAAATACCAACTAAAAGTGATGTCAAGCTGCTCCAGAGAAAGTCATTTGTAAGATACCTTGAGAGAGAATATGACAAAATGAACTCTAACTTGAAGGCTACACTCGAAGAGGTAGAGTTTGTTTCCACCACTGCTGAAATCTGGACAGTAAATAATAAACGTTTTATGGGTTCACTGGATTAATTCCACATCACAACGCAACAAGGCCGCCCTAGCATACAACAGAATTAGAGGCAGCCATACCTATGATGTAATTGGAACAGAGATTGAAGAAATCCATTCATCATATGGACTACAAGGCAACGTTATTGCCGCTGTAACGGATAATGCATCCAATTTTGCCAAAGCATTCAGAGTATGTCAGCCCTGTCAATTGGAGTCTGAATCTGAAAATGAAGAAGGTAATGACGAGGAACTGACCTTTACTGATGTCAAGGAAGCTCTTTCAACCCCATGTGGTGATGCACAGTTTGGCCTCCCTCCACACTACAAGTATTTACCCCTTGTTAAATATCATAATAGTC